CGAGCAGTGAGTGTCATGGAAGGAAAATGCTTTAATCGGAGCGGACGGCGTCGAGGAGCACTCCGGGGGCGCGGTGAACGTCCCGTCCCGTCCGGGTCAGGAGCGGCGGGTACCCGTCGTCGCCTCTGCAGATGCGGCGCCACGGAAAGTGCGTCGCGGGCGTTGCATCAGCTCGTCGGAAGCGGCGGCCGCGAGGGTGCGGTGGCGCCTATCCATGCCTCCCCCTCCCCACCCCTACCTACCAGGCCCCTCACCCTCACACACCCTCCTCGCCAAGGACCGAACCGAGGCGCAATAGTCTGACCCCGCCAGCGCCAACCTTGGTTTTTGCCCTCCTGAAATGGTTTTAGGGAGAGGGGTACTCCGGAGGGTGTGCGAGGAGGGGGGGGGGGCGACTCGCGGGTCGGAAATAGCTTTGGGCCGATACCACCGCACTACTACCACCCTCCCCCCTTCCTCCCCTGCAGACGCGAATGCCCCCCCCCTCCCCTTCCCTTCCCCCGTCCCCCCCGTCGCCGTTCATCCTGCCCGCCTCTGACGCGCCGCGAGGGGCCCGCCTGCCCGGCCGTCCAATGGGCGTCGCGCGACGTCACGCCCGCGGTCACGTGGCGCGGGGGGCACGGCTCCCCCCTCCTCTCGGCCCGCTCCCCCCCTCTAGCGAGCAGCTAAGCCTTAGAGACCGTAAGCCTTCTTTCTACGCGGCAAGGCTCCGCCAGGCAGGCGGCAAGCTGCACTGCACGGCGGCAGGCTGCACTGCACGGCGGCAGGCTCCGCGAGCAGGCTCCGCGAGCAGGCTCCGCGGCTCTGCACGGCGGCACGGGGTGCAATGCACCCGAGGCTGGCGCGGAGCCTCCCCGAGGCTGGCGCCTCCTCGGCGCGCGGCCTCGTCACCGGCACACACTGCACCTTACAGAACACTTGCGGCCGATGGCGCATACGTCGACCTGACCACCAATAAGCCACCAATGAAGCAAATGACCCTCCTCGTAGGAGGCGACACTTGTACTCGCATTATTCTTATCGGCTGGTCGAATGTTGTAGTGATAGTCAACCCTTCCACACGCGCTGCTGCCCCATTGCCTTCCAGTCCCGGCCACACACCTGAAGGCTCCGCTGCGGGGTTGTTCAAGTCCCCGCCCCGCAGTCGCAGCCCCCCTCGAGTTCGCGATGAGTCAGACCCGAGAAACGTGTCATCAGCCGGCGCCCGCCCCACCCCGTCGACCTGAACCACCCCACCGTGATGCAGACTGCGCCAGGGGTTGCGCAAGCCGCAGACGTGTGCCCGCCTCCTGGAGCCTGCTCAAGGGGTTCCACCGCGGTTCCGAAAATGCGCACGCCGTCGGGAGAACTGCACCCCTCTTCATTTCTCCTACTTGTCCTTCTCTTCACGCCCCTCTATAGGGCGTATTTCTGGCCCGTCGTTGGGCCTTTACTCTTATTTCCCCTTTCGCCCGCCCGCCCTTTCACACAATCGGCGAAAGGAAAGAAAAGGAATCCAAGACCGATAGGAGGGGATCGGCATTTGCCGCCACTCGGGGTGACCGGGGAGGGAGGGGGGG